CTGCACCGTGAAGCAGAACTGGCCGAACAGCCGCAGCATACGCTCGACCCTTCACAGAGAGCCGGATGTCGCGTCTGTGCCACGGATGTTTTAAGTTGGCAAATGCCAACCGAGTCTTCTGTATGCGAGCTGACATTTCATCCGTGATGCGTCCACCGGGTGAGATGTAGCTGCCTAAATAACAAAACTTATCCACCTGCTCTAATACTTCTCTAGTTAGAGTGAGTCTGGGTGCTGGATCAACCTAGTCTTGTAGCACCATTTTACACGTTGAAGGTGCCAAACGCACATCGGACATGGACACTCTAGCACTCAAACTAAGCAGAAAAGCTTGCAACTTACCTGGATCTTCACCTAATAGCACAATGTCCTCTGCATACTCTAGATCAGACAACGTCCCTCTTGGGAGTAATTGGATGCCACTACCCTCGCACGAGGATAGAGCCGTTGGCATAATTAAATCTATGACAAAATTAATTTAAAACGGAGAAGGCAAACTCGACGAACACCACTTTGCGTGGTGAACTCGGGTGCAAAAGTGCAGAACGCCCAGGTTTGAAAACAGCCTGGTTCTCACGCGTGCACCGTTCACGGCAGACAATCGACGGAGTATGATGTCAGCGAAGAGTTTAGAAGCGATGTAGAATAAACTAATTCCTGTGTTGTTTTTGCAAGAGTACCTGTCACCTTGCTTGTAAATTGATACGATCACCGATTAGCACCATTCAGTTGGAATCTCCTCTCTCTTCTACTCTGAGCCCAGCAGTTTCGAAACCAAGGATGAACCTATATTCTTGAAAACGGACGGGGACCAGTTGAACAGAGCTTCGAAATGTTGAGCCCATCGATCAAGACGGCGTTGCTGATTGTGAATCAGTTTACAACCGGATTCGTTGATTACCTCACTTACACCTATTTTCCTAGGGTCCGCATTCCTAAGTCGATGGAAAAGATTCCAACTATTACCAATAGCCGCAGCCTTCTTCATCTCCCTACACTTTCCTATACACCACTCCTCGCGGCGAAACGTTAGGTTGGATCAGGAGAACGCAGGGAGATAATGAAAGTGAGGTCTTGTATGCGTGTTTCGAAGGCAACATACATCTAAATGGAAAGTTTCAAGGGTTTTAGCCAGGGCGGATTGTTCACCAATCTGATAGTGTGCGGACATTGAACGCGGCTCAGTGAAAAGGGAATTTTGGCATCAAAAATACCATAACTCCGGATTGTTTGGCCTTACTGGTAATATTCTATGGATCTTGTAAACAGCAGGCGTTTGTGAATATTATGGATTGAGATAAAGAACTAGACAGATGGTAAGGAAGGTTTTCCAAATGGGTGCCCAAGACCTTAGTGCACGAAATTCTTCGCGGCAGCCCACACCGACGAAGGGGTTTTTCTTTGGGAACCCTAACCGGAGCCTTCAACTCAAGTGTGACCCACAAGGCAGTGGGGCTTAAAACCAATGCGGGAGCGTGGCCGAAACACCCGTGTGGGAGCTTCTGGAGACCTGTGGCGCAAGGACTTCGGGTTTCGGTTAAGTTTGTTGTTCGCTGGTGGGTTGATTGTCGTTCCGCTTTTCGGGATCGGCCCTTAGTCTCATGCACCGAATGAGACAAGCGCAAAGTGAACAGGACAGCACCTTATTGGCTGAGAGCTTCCTAGTTTGGGTGGGTGGTAGCTGTCCAATGGAGTTCGAAAATTTCTCCCACCGTCGAGAGGAAGCCCCAGGTACCCCGCTCCTACGTCCATCTAGCGGGATTTTTTCGACCGGTAAACTGTCCCCCACCGTGTTTATTTGCTGGAGTTGCCTCTCCAGGGGCGGGTATGGATAGATGGAGGAAGCCAGGAGGTGCTTAAGCACCTGGCCTTGTGAGACTGATCTTCGTTTGGCCTCTGACCATAGACCTTTCAGGCATGATCGGATCTACGGTCGAGGAGCCATCCTGTATAGCTCGCAGGATCACGGAGGCGCGCAAGCCACCACACCACGTCAAGATGTAGTCTCGTAGTGATGGGTAATACATAGATATATGTACTTTGGAGTGTGAAATTAACAGAAAACGAGGCAAACAGGGTGAAGCAGAAGTGAAAGAGTAATAAGGCGACGAGCCGGTACCTTCTAAAGTTGTTGCTGCTGAACGCACCAGTGGATGCTTTTGAGATCGACGATAAATGAATTGGAAAGCAAATAGTGAAATATATATATGTGACATCTGGGGGCTTTTTGCCACACGAAGCGGCAACTTTGCATGGTTGCACGGCTGAATGCATTAATACAACATCGAAAACAAATGCCGAAAAGTATAAAGTTCATGAAAAAATCAAGGTGGTCAATATGTGAGACGTCTTTGAATCGCGTGGCATCCCTTTTGCTATTCAATTCCTTCTTACTGAAAAGCTGTTAATACAGTTATGCATTCGGCAAAAGAACTAAAAAAGTATGAGGGGCCGCGCAAGTTACAACAGGGAAACTGTTTAAAATCATGCAATAAGTATTTCACATATTTTCCAGATGGGTTATATGCACCACATGTAGTATTATATGTATCACTAGCTTGATACTGTAGAACATTAATAATTTATTTACAAAACACAGTGTTAGCATAGAATTATCATCGACATGCTATAGATCGGTAGCTCTATTCCACTGAAAGTTCGGTGTTATGCAGGAGATCGCCTACCGTAAAGTTGAATAGAAACGGGAATTGAAGACAGTGACGTCAAATCTCATAAACGGTGGCGAGAAATAACTGTCGCAAGATGACACGGCATGCTCCAATACAGCGCTTTTAGAATGAAACCATACTTCTCGTGTACTTCATACCTCAACAGGCGATTCCATAGAGCAAACCTACCGGCTCATCATCATCGTACAGTGCAGTAGTGGGAAGCGAGCCTCACTGATCACTACCCAATTCATAATGGAGACGAGGAAAGAAAACGAACCTCTACGGTCAACACAAAGAACACAGTTCAGCTATGCATGCAAACTGTTGCAAACATTCCGGTCTGATAGGCGTCAATAACGAGGCAACTGCTGCTTTGACTTTCAATTAATCCAAACATCTGGTTGCCGAGTCTTGGACCCCAACACTGGAGACGACACCTACTCTAAGAATATTTATCCCTAGTCTCCACGTCATTTGTTAGCCTCTACGCAAAACGTGTCCTAACCAGAGGAGCCCGAGCTGAATTGTATGCGACAGCGAGTTTTTCCTCGATACAGTCCCAAACACATGACGACCTACATCTTTCTGATGACTGACAAAGAGCACTGGACAGCTGTTTCGTATTGTCTGGGATTCGTCAGCAATACGTACTTTTGGTGTCCCTGTCAGGACAGCACGCCTTCCGGTTGGGAATTCAGACCCTTACCCTTCCGCCGCATTCAACTAGCGGGGAACTAACGATCTCCCAAGGAGTGAAACCCACACCCAAGATCATCAACATTTCTGGTGCCTGTGAGAAACCCAATGGACCAATCTAAACATTCGCCGTCCAAATTGATTGGGCCATTCGCACAAGGTGATAATCGTTGACCGTGTAGCTGAGGTAAAAGTTTGAAGTTCAACCCAAAGTTTCGCGATTCGAATCCTGACGCCAACTTTTGATAGTTCCATCATAACATAAGTTTCATATTCGAGCCATACACTTGGTTATTAAACAGATTTTCAAAAATGATAACTACAACGCACATGGTCATGGAGAAGCTTGCAAAAAGCTATGAATGTTGAGTAATAATAAGTACGACAAAAATCTGAGAAGTACTCGATTCAACCTCCCTGAAAAACGAATGAAGTGTGAAGAAAACTCACGCGCACAAGACAAAGTGACGTCAAAGTTAAAGCCAGATCTCCTATCTGTCCACTGACGGCCCTTTTAGTGACAACCATGGACGCCAAACGTAAACCTTTAATGGCAATAGAAGAAAGCAGCTCCATCAATAAGAATTACATTGCCTTTAGTTACGTGTTACATTTCACGAAATCGACAAGGGATTAAGCGAAGTGAGTAGTATATTAATCAACATTACTAGCTCATTACGGTTTGACAACTACTTCGCTGAATCTTGAGAACTATAGACTACTCTGGGTACTTCGGAAAACATACCTGAGGTATAGAGTAGACAGGCCACGTTTTCTGCCAACCAGTCATCCGGAGTTGCGATAACTTCATCCAGAATGTCTAGCGCTTGGTCGGAACTCCAGGCCTCAGAATCGATCATGAGCTGCATCACGCTGCCCAGTTCCCCAAAACAGGCTGAAAGCTGTTCAGAGTCAGCCGCTGTGTTCTCGCACATAGTACGCCACATTAACTTGCCTGTTGGAGTGAAAACGAAAATAACCGCGAGATGGCTTAACGAATGGCTGGCGAGACACAAGCGCATGGTATCAGACGTGTGTGAAAATACAAAATACATTCATCAACAAAATATCAACCAGTACAACGTTTCATCGTAATCCGTAAACCTAATGTTGTGTACAAATAGCTCTTGAGGCGACGTTCCTGTATATGGTTTGTGGTTTACTGCACTGCTAGTCTGACATTTGGGACAGAAGTGTCGGCTCCCAAAAAATGAATTACATCGATGCGTTCATTCATTACCGTGGAGTTGTACGCGTTATCGTATATCAACTCGTGATAGAAATTTTCTGAGGATCACATCTAATACGAAGATGAGAAGGAACACGGAGTGTGATAATTCTATCTATACTCTTTTCAAGGCAACGGTTCTCTTGTCGGTCTGATTACGTCATATTATGTGCCTGTGCCATCATTCATACTGCTTAGTATGTTTTGGATAGCCTAAGTTGATTGTTTGACATTCTCCGGACGTGCTGTGCAACAGACACACACTGATCCATTCCACATTGTATTGTTTTTATTGTTGACTTCATTCATCACTGTATCCTGTAGAATTGATACCCCTACTGCTATTGGAAAGTTTTACGCCAACATCAAATTTATACATACGTTAAGACGTTGCGACGCTATACACTTAACGAATGTGACACTATTCACATAAAAGTGACAGAGTATAAATGACACTATTTTTAGACGGAAGACTTGAAAATCTAATATCTCAATTATGCGAGCAACATAGTTCAATCAAAACAGGGAAGAGATTATCTTCTTTGGCGCAGAAGGGCGGTGATGGCGGGGTTCGAACTCAAGGCGGCTATTTTGACGACCTTTCTACACGAACACTACTTTCCGTACGATCGAATCGAAGGTTTATTTCAACTATTAGATTGAGTCCTTTCAACCGAAATATATCGGCAATGTACTATTGCGAACATCCGAAACTCAGCACCTCGCGCACTAACCGTTGACAGTACGTGTACAAATAAAAAGCGGATACCGATAAATTGCATATATAAGATATCCTAAACTAGTTTTAAAATAACATTTACGGAGACCCATATGTAATGAATCGAAAAGAAAACAATGACGAGGGTGTGCAAAGATGAATGACTATTTACCGTAAAATTTTTATCAGAGGAAGATGGTAAAATTTGGCAATCGAAAGACCAATGCCCCGAGGTTTTCAATAAAACGGCAACTTATACACGAAATCACGAGCAAACATCCATAATCGATAAAGGCAACTGCATAAGCTTACCTCGGTGCAACGGACCATACAAAATGAAAAGAATACGAGCCTGTTGCTTCGGTGGAAAGGATTGTAAAATCCGCAACAGTTGTTCGGCTACAGGCCAAAACTTCCCAGTAGCTGTAGGTATGCTGGTTGATGGTTGATTTCCAGAGATACCAGTCACCAAAGGGGCAGACGACGGTAGTTTATCACTAATGAAAAACAGAGACAATAGTGACTAGCCATCGCCTTGGGAATAATGGATGGAACACAACTGTAACAACGGAACTGGATGACTAAATCGCTTACGACGAAAGCGAATGAGGTATTGAGCTCGTGGAACGACACACTGACGATAATTCCTCAGGGTTCACAAAAATTGACTTCACGGTTGACGCGGTATTCTTCCAGTCTGAGGGCTGATCGGACGTTAGTGACTGATCATCGTTATCTGACAATTTGTGAAAATCGTACATGGATGCATCGCCAGCTTTTGGGTTAGAATTCGAAGACAATGATTGGGCGATGCGAACAGCTAGGTTAGATCGAGTGCTCCGATTAAATGGATAAGCCAAAACCAAGGGATCCAAAAATACACGCCGTAGGAAAAGCCTTATTGTTAGCTCAGAATCCGGGTCCTCTCCTAGTAGATAGAGAATCAGCGGATGAATATAAGTGAACAATAGTAGTCGTCAAGTTAGTTAGTCTGGTTGATTTCAAACATTTAACCAAACAAAGTTAATGAAGAAAGTCTTTTGATGATACTGACGTAAGTAACAAGTTTAATTACATCAACCCATGATAGGGTATAAGGCGGAACAATTTTCGTGCAGACTGGGACACGTCACAAGACAAAACCTACGAAGTGGCAGGTGAACTATACGTTATAACATTACAGGAGAACATGAAGCAACTGGAAAATGTTTATTTTTTGTAATTTACCGTACACAACCTCCCCAACGCTTCTAGAGAACGCATTCATATCCTCAGGTAACGTTCTCTTAGAGTAAATATCATAAAGTATCTGATACGATTGTTCTACTAACGGCCTTCCTAAGACAGTATTTACAATAAATTAGGAGGGGAGAAGCCAACGTTCGAGTTGATGAACCACAGGCAGCCAGTTCACCTACAGCTAAAAATCTGGATATCAAACATCCTCGAGTCAGGCGGTTTGCGTTAGCGCGCGACCGAGTTCAGTTTTTACAATCATTAACCATGCATTTTTGTGCGCCGGTTTTGGTTGCTGTCTTTTGGCCGACCATTTGGATAAAAAAGAAGGATGAAGAGTGGAATGTTAAAAGACAATTCAAACAGAAAATAGCGAATTAATATCGACTGGGGTTAAGAGAATAATGAGTAGGTACATGAGAGCCACTGTTTGCGACACTTAGCCATATCGTTCAGTGTCTCTAACCATCGGTGACCATGATCTTGGGGTCCCCAGCCAGGGGGCCTAACTGGACCTATGTGACCCAGTCTCCTGGTAAGGGTTTTCATACCCTCACTCCAGGTCTTCGTTTGACCACCCTTGACCTTTGACCACTCCCTGCCTCAGCTGGTGGAGGATTCGATGAGACTTGGATCCTAGTCGAGGTAGGACAAGAGCGAACAACGGCAGAGTTTCCGCTCGAGGCACTACTGTTGGTACGATCGTCTGAAGCACCCGAGAGAGATGGAGGTGTTGGGGAGGGGGTAGAGGTGAGCTAGGAGAACAATAGGGTGTGTACGGTGTAGAATGTTTTTCGCCTTGCTTGGTGACAATACATATGCAAATTAAAATGCTTTGAACCGCTTGGTGATCGAGGTCTTCAAGTATGGTACGTGCTTTGCGTCTTCTAAGTACGAAGTGCTTGTTAAAAATTGGCAGGAACTGTACCTGTACTCACCCTGTAATGAACTAGGAGCAGTTGAGAGCTTTAAGTACCTCGGGAGCTTGATCGCAGCTGGTGGGGGTGTTGGACAGGAGATTACATCACGAACAGCGAAAGCTAGAGCAACACCTGTGGCACCACCATGACATCCTACTGTCCCTTAAGGGAAAGGTGTACATCGCCGCGGTTCGTAGCGTTCTCCTTTACGGTTGCGAGATCTGGCTCCTCCGCGTTGAGGATGCTAATCGACTTTAGGTATTCGACCACCGATGTCTCCGGAGCATTGCCTTTTCTGATCTGAACAGTGAGTGAGTAATCACGAGGTTCGTTGTCGTGTGCTGGGTGCGGATAGTCGTTCTCTAACAGAAGTAATCACTCTACACCGCCTCCGATGGCTTGGTCACGTATTGCGTATGCCTGCCTATCGACTACCTTTCCGTGCTGTCTTCGCACGTACCGGGCAAGGCTGGAAACGCTGCGGCGGTCAGACCATGACATGGCGTAGAGGTANAGTTGGCTTCGGTTGGTGAAGCCCGCTTTCTAGGTTGGGGTCCGAGGGATGAGGATTGTCGTTGGTTAGAGACGCTGAAAGATATGACCCGGAATAAAAGACAGCGGGGCGAATGCTGTACGGTCTGCCTGTCGAAATCCCGTGCCCCGTAAAAAACAATAAACAACACAAAAATATCAAAGTGTATGGTGAAACACAAAAAAATTTTGTTATCCCAGCTATTTACCATTTCGTGTTTAACTGTTTCTCCATCTTTCCACTTTGTTCTATCCCAATCCACCTGCCCCCTATTGTTGTT